AGTTCAGGTGGTGATGAAAGAAAATCCGAAGAACACGTGGATGCAGTTACTAGGTAGGTTATAATTGATGTTTACATATGATATATACTATATATATATAACCATCTGTGGTTTTTATTTATTATACATTTAATTAATGTAGTTTATATGCAGTTGTATGAACCATACATATAATGAAATATTAAATACATTACATATATTATGTAAAATTTATATATACATATATCCTGTCTTGACATATATATATATACATATATATATGAAAAATGTGAATAAAATCAAAATACATACATTCTTTCAGTATTATAAAAGATGCATTTATATATCCTCTTTACCTACTGTGTATTTAAATTTGACACAATCGTACTTAAGGAGTAAACTCCAGTAGTGCGTCGGAGCTGACGCACATGTTTTTATTCTTTTTAGAAATGACCGTAACATAAGAAACTATAGTACCCGCTTATTTAATTTTGCATAGCTTCATTTTGTTTATAAACACACTTTTAATAAGATAACAGAATAATAGGTTCCTATACATATGTCGTATTATGTAATTTATTTGTAGGTACCTCATCTGATTTCTTTTTATGAATGACAAATGAAAACAACCAACTTTATATTTTCTATTTTTCTCTTTACGGGCTTCGCGGTGGCAGACGCGACATTTGAACGTTTACACGTGGTATTTCCCGATTTCTCCTCCAATGAAAGGCATTACAACTAATTATTATTATCGTTACCAATATTAATAAAAAAATTTTTAAACGTAGACAGCCCTAATCACTGCAGTGCAAATAAAAATTATGATAATATTTTTTATGATCGTATGCTGTTTTTCTTATGCAACCCATTTTACAAAATATTTAAACGCTGCAACACCGCCATCTGCCAGGTCTAGTCACCACTATTTTTGACTTATACTTCTCCACCATAGGCATGTAACCCTTAATAAGAACAAACACTACAAGAACTAACACAATTATAGACAACTTTTTCTCCAACTTCGATGTACTATACGGTACTACTCATTCCCTTTTTAATTTTAAAATTTTTCAAATTTAATACAAAAGTTGTAAAATATAACTCTGAGATTCAATTTCACCTTTAAAGATACTAATAATATAGTAATTATACGTTTTGGAGACCGATTTTGGGAAAGAAAATAATCAGAAAAACGGGAAAAATTTTCGAGACTTAATCGCCGTGATGAACAAACTATTTACATACCTAGAAGTTTGTACAAAACCCTCGCTTTTCTTCTTATTTAAAACTACCACAGGAGAGCTGTAGGGTGACTGATAGCCTTATCTATGAGAATTTTTTCGACTTATTCCTGGATCAGCTTCTTCTTTCCTTCTGAGTAGCGGTACGGCGAAAGGTAAAAGAGCTGATCTTGTCGTAGACGTATTACGTGTTGAGCTGTTTTAGTAGTAGTCGACGACTTCACGAATACTTCCCGGAAATCCTCCACTAACTTTTGGAAATCTTCCTGGTAGTCTTCAGGAAAATGTGTTAGAATCGGTTCCCCATGCGTAGGCTGTGTGGTGGGTGGTGACGGAGCTTAGTAAATTGTGCGCTGCTTATCGATATCAAAATGAATATACTTTCTTTTAAAGTCGCAAGTAACACTTCCAGAAGCCGTAACATTACCAATATGACATCATGTTTTAATCCTTCCGCAACGAGACCTTGAATTGGTTGCGGACTCTCATCAATTTGTACGATCAACAACACCGTACCTAAGACGCGCATTGTGGTAACATCAGCGAGACTTACGAAAGTTGTTGAAGGTGGAACCAGTGTCGTAATCGTAGATCAAACAAGAGTTTACAAAAGAGGCTCCCATATCAAGTAGGGCTTCGTCGTAGACTTCCCCTAGACGAACTGGGATCTTTGACCTCCTACAGTCTGATAGTTATGCGAATGTCCGGCCCTTACTGAGGGATGCAATTTCCCCCCGGCCTGTATCCAATTTCCAGTCAATCCTGGGGTGGTGGAACTGGACAATCCTTGTGAAAATGGATCCCTGGACAGTAGCAACATATTGGCGTTGCGAATAAGACGGTCTTCGTACATCATTGACAGGGGTTCATCCTCACGATCTTTTTGCGTCGTAGAACGCTGTATTTGGTCAAAGTCGATTTCCATCGCTCTCTGTAACAATTCTTCTATTATGGCTGGCCTCGGAATTCTCAAGGAATTAGTATACTTGGCCGAAGATTAACAACAGGATGATGTCTTCTTTTTCTTCTTCTTGATTAGAATACAGAATAAATAGAATATAATCGACAACATACACACCACCCCAGGTATAACCTAACCTAACATTCTTCTCTTCCACATACAGCACTTTTGGAGGGACTGTCCCTTGCGGAAGCCTTAAACTTAGCGAGCGAGCTGCAGTCCAAACTTCCTACGTTAAACGAGTTCCACAAGCACCGTGTGCGAGGACACAGTGTCCAGCACTTCTTACATACCTTCCCAGGCGGCAACCATGTTACCGCCCAATGTAAGGCAAAGGACAGGAAAGACGCGACCTCCTCCTGTGCTAACTGCAAAGAAATCCACCACGCCCTATATCGTTGCTATTCCAAGATACCTAAGAAAATCGTACCACCCAAAGGAACCCTACTCCGGCCTCGCCAAAAACAGTTCAAGCAACCCCCAATCCTTCGGTCACCTCCGTTACTACTCCTCCGCAAAAGTCTTACGCAAGGGTTGTGAAAGCAGTCCCCTCCATTCCCATCTGAACTACCAAAACAACCCCAGGCATCCCTTCAGTGCAACTCCCCAACTCCAGGTCATCGTGAAAACAACTCTCGCAAATAATCTTCGAGTAGTTACCTGAAATGCTCAAAGCATTAGAGGTTGGGGAAGTTGACTGTTTCCTCGAGGAACAGTCAATCGATGTTAGCGGCAGTGGCATAGCCATCCGCGTTAGGAATTATTTAAAGCACAGGTTACCAGCAATACATTTTTCCAGCAATTTCTTAAGTTTCTTTCTCCTATTCCTCATACTTTTCCCATTACACTAAATGCCTTCTTTTTCAGATTTTTAATGTGCTTGTCTACTCCATTATTCCTCTGCAATATGAAGCCTAGGTAATTAAATTCTGTAACCTCATCGATTGTTCCAACCCTATTGTTTCTTCCTCCTGCCTTCTTCCCTCTTAAAATTTTTGATTTGTTTGTATTTAATTCCAACCCTCTTTCCTTTATGTGTTTGTTGAATTTTGTTCATTCCTCTTTCATTATTCGCTAATAAAACTATGTCATTGCATATGACACTAACCAAATTTTTCTTCTATCGAGTACTATACCTCCTTCTTGCGCTGTGCTCATTTGTTCAGCAAAGTGCCCAGTCCATTCAACAATATGTATTACTTTACTCATCCCTTCCTTTTTTGTTCTTTGTTTGTTTATTAACTCCCAGAACTTCTTTCCCGTTTTGTCCTTTCTTGCTTCTGACCAGTCTTTCTCCAATGTCAGTCGTTTCTTATCCTCAACTATTTTCTTGTATTTCTTTTTACATTCGCAGTAATCTGTTTTCAGTTCACCTGTTTCTATATATTTTTTCCTTGCCTTTTTTAACTCCAATTTTGCTGCGTGACATCCTTGATCCCACCATTTCCTTTTCTGGATACTTGTATTAATCTTTATTTTCTTTTTACATATCGCTGCTTTTAGCGTTTCTCACTGACACTGAAGTTGTCCGAAGCACTTTTCGGTAACAAGATTACCTTCTTCAGGGACTGAAGTGAACTAAATCTAAAAAGGAACTAATCCTAATTTATGCTAATAGTTGTTAAGGTTCAGTGAACATGGCTGAAA